GATGTCCGATATTCAGTTTTGAGGCCGATACCGATAGGGGGCCGATTATATCGTGCATCCCTAATATTTAATACTTAATTTATTTTAAAACATCCAATTACAAAATGCTTTTCTAACCGTTAGATTTAAACGTTTAATCTGAAGCCGCTCTGGTCGTCTTTACGTTGTGTTTCCCGTAGGAATGGTACAGTCTGCGACTTTTATCGGTTTATTTGTCGCGTTCTGGATCAACATCCGACCTCTGGTCAGGTTGGTTTACTGTTGGTAAATAAACAAAGCGATGCTTTTATTTAAAAATGGAGCGAAATAAATGATAAAACAGAGAAATAAGCCAAGAGGGACTGATTATTGAAGTCGGTAACTTTAGAACCCGGAACATTGCTGGAACTTTCTGCGTGTTTAAACGTCTGACCTGACAGGAACCAATCAGCAGCTTATTCCTCTGACCCTCAGGACAGCGCTTCCAGCTCCGACAGTCTGGAGTTGGATTCTGGTCCCGTAAGTTCAGCCCGTACGTCTTCCAAACTCAAAGGGAATTGTGGGAAATGAGTTCTGTCGTGGAGTCTGGGCTGCTGGTTCTGGTCCGGTCCATAGAAGTTTAGCTGCTCCTCTGTGGACTCGGACGGTGTGATTGTCTTTCTGTCGTCTGTTGAAGGTTTTGGGTTAACCAATCAGAATTGGACCTGTCTTTATGTCTGCTCCTGCTGATCGGTTCTGGGTCTGTGTGTCAGGTTTCCTCACTGGTTCTGATCCAGATAGTTCAGCTGATTGGCTGTCAGGACATCAGCTCTAACATTTATACCTGACCCACAGACAGCAGCCGCTCTGTTCCGTCTGTCCTGACACCTCCCGGCCCAGGCTCCGCCCCCCTGTGTCACCTGATCTCCTTTGCTTCCTGCAGCCGGTGCGCCTGGCTCCTCAGAGGGAGTTCATGAAATCCCTGATGGGGATCGGGAAGCGGCTGGCCACGCTGCCCACCAAAGAGCAGAAGACCCAGCGGCTGATCTCCGAGCTGTCGCTGCTCAACCACAAGCTCCCGGCTCGGGTCTGGCTGCCCACCGCCGCCTTCGACCACCACGTGGTCCGGGTGCCGCACACGCAGGCCGTCGTGCTCAACTCCAAAGACAAGGTGAGACGACCCGTCCTCCGCTCGCTGCCATTGGCCTGGTGAGTCTAATCCGTCCCTGCTCTCTGCTCAGGCTCCGTACCTGATCTACGTGGAGGTTCTGGAATGTGAGAACTTCGAGACGTCCAACGTTCCGATGCGGATCCCAGAGAACCGGATCAGGAGCACGCGTTCCGTGGAGAACCTGCCGGACTGCGGCATGATGGTGGAGCAGCGAGCCGGAAGCCTCTCTGTCGTCCCGAACTACGACAACGACGACGAGGCCTGGTCTGTGGACGACATCGGAGAGCTCCAGGTGGAGGTAAGACCCCGCCCTCACAGGAAGTGATGTCACGTTTATGTCACAAAGCAGCAACGTTTGATCCTGTCAGAACCAGAATATTTCAGTTCTGGACCCAAAAAAGAAGTTTTTTTTTAACTGAAATAAAAGCGCGTGGGCCGAGGACACAGCCCTGAGGGCGCCATGCGTCCTGCTCTGGTTTAACAGACATGTTGCCCCCCCCTCCCAGCTCCCAGAGGGCCATGCCAACAGCTGCGACAACATCAGCCAGTTCTCAGTGGATAGCATCACCAGCCTGGACAGCAAGGAGCCCGTCTTCATCGCCGCTGGAGACATCAGGTACCACGGAAACCAGAACCGAGGTTCAGATCGGAAGCAGCCGCTTGGTCCGACTTCCTACTGTGTCTTCATTCCAGGCGCCGTCTGTCCGAGCAGCTGGCCCAGGCCCCCACCACCTTCAAACGGGACCCGGAGGACCCGTCAGCTGTGGCCCTGAAGGAGCCTTGGGAGGAGAAGGTCCGGTAGGTAACAGACAGACGGAGCTCTTGTGAAGTTCAGGAGAAACTGAGAAAATTTTCAAATTTATTTAACGTCCTCAGACGGAGAGATGGGGCTCTGACTGGGCAAAGCTCAGTACAAACATTTATACAACAACTCCCAATAAACACACTCTCCCTGGGAACTATCCCAGCCCTACATAAAGAACTTTCTCACCACGAACATTTGAAGGAAAAACAACCTGAGTTCATAATGGCCGCTCCCAGATGGATCTTTTCAAAACAACAGTCCTTTCCTTTATGCCATGAATGAGACTTTGTGACTCATTCTTGTCTCTCATGACCTTCGTTTGGAGCCTGTGAGGCTCCTGCTGCTTTCACACCGGACGGAGCAAAAGCAGCAAAATCGCGTCTGCTGCTTCATTTTTGCTGCTTGTACCAGTTAGTTCTG